GAGCTGTCTGTCTCTATCTTAGCTACTCTCATGGATGTGAGCTGTCTCCACCTTAGCTGCACTCGTGGATGTGAGCTGTCTCCACCTTAGATACACTCGTGAATGTGAGCTGTCTATCTCCACCTTAGCTACTCTCATGGATGTGAGCTGTCTGTCTCCATCTTAGCTACTCTCACGGATGTGTGCTGTTTTTATTTGCACCACGACTTCACTCACACTGCAGTTTTAACTCGTTGGTTTCTTAAAACAGGTTCTGACTGTGTAGCCCCAGGAAGCTTGTAGCATCCTACGTCTCAAACTCACTGGGATGTGCCTGCCTCTTCCACTTCTTTCCAAGTACTAGGATTAAAGACGTGCACCACCACTCTCACGGCATTTGTCCTACTTTTTAAATCAGGTTGGTTGATTTCCTACTCGTGGACTTTAAGAATTACAGCCATTCTATTTCTAGTTACTTCCTTAAGAGAATTGGAAGTATATTTGCCTAAGGCTACACAGCCCATAGCAGCTGATGTATAACAGTCAAAAAAAAAAACTAGCCAGAAATGTTCAACAAGTAAATCCTTAAATACACTGTGTTGTCTCCACATGGTAAAAAAGAAAAAAGAAAAAAAAACCAGCAGCATGCACAAACCATGGGTGAGTTTCATGAGTAAAAGAAGCCAGAAGAAAATGGGAACAGATAATGTATTCAATTTACAGAAAATTCTAGACAATACAAACTATTATATAACAACAGAGCCCAGTGCTTGAAACAGACAGACAGTGACTGGCTATAGGAAGGTCACCAAAATCTCTTTTGGCATGCTAGATATGTTCACTGCCTTAACTCTTGTGATCATGACACAGCAATACATGTAGATCAAGGCTTAACAAGACATACATCTCAAATATGTGCAGCAATGACAGATCAAGAAAAGAACTGATTGTAAGGAAGAAGCTAAACTGATGAATAAAAGAGAACTCAGAATAACGTTGTCTTTCCATAATAGCTGAGGAGCTACTCTGCCATCTAAGCTAATTGAAAGTAAAGATGTCAATAAGTTGCTTCCAAGGAAGAGACAATAGAAGAGAATGATGACCTTAATGTTTCTCTAATTTGTTATGGAATGAAATTTGTGACTAATTCAACTCAAGGGGCATTGTTTGGCAAATAGATGTCCTTAGAGCTTTTATTTAATTGTAGTATCCAATCTAGAAAAAAATCCTTACAAAATGTAAGATGTTCTAATTGTACAAAACAGTCACTGCTTTATTACACACACAAATATACTCTATATCACTTATACTACAAATAATCCACATCTGACTGCTCATCATCCACCTCCATTTGCCTTCAATACTTACAGCTTATTTAATGAGAACATTGCTTTCATACATATTCTAAAATCATTTGTGATTTACAGATGAAAATAATTAAATGCATGCTTGGGTAATAAAATATCATTCATTCAAGACATACTACAGTGAAAATTATGATAACCCTGAAGTGGCAATTCACGTGACAGCATCTTATGATCTTTCTATTCTGATATTTGCCTCTACAAATCTAACACTTGCTAAAATAATACTCTTATTTTTTTTCAAGATGTACAAGAAAGGAAAATCGTGATTCAATGGAGTTGAGAAATGACACCAGAGTAAAAGAATTTGTATTTCTGGGTCTTACTCAGTCCCCACACCTGAGCCTGGTCTTATTCCTTGTTTTGGGTTTTGTGTACATGACAACACTGCTTGGGAATCTCCTCATCATGATCACTGTGACCTTTGAGCCCCGTCTCCATACACCCATGTACTTCCTGCTCCGCAACCTTGCCGTCCTGGACATCTGCTTCTCCTCCATCACAGCCCCTAAGGTCTTGGTGGACCTTCTCTCAAAGAGAAAGACCATTTCCTATGCAAAGTGCATGACACAGATGTTTTTCTTCCACCTGCTTGGTGGGGCAGACATTTTCTCTCTCTCTGTGATGGCATTTGATCGTTACATGGCCATCTCCAAGCCTCTGCACTATGTGACCATCATGAGCAGTAGGCGCTGCACAGCCCTCATCGCGGCCTCCTGGGTGGGGGGCTTTGTCCACTCCATTGTGCAGATAGCCCTCTTGCTCCCACTCCCCTTCTGTGGACCCAATGTTCTTGATACTTTCTACTGCGATGTCCCACAGGTTCTCAAACTTGCCTGCACTGACACTTTTGTCCTTGAGCTCCTGATGATCTCCAACAATGGCCTGGTCACTACCCTGTGGTTTATCTTCCTGCTGGTGTCCTACATGGTCATTCTGACGATGCTGAGGTCTCAGGCAGGGGAAGACAGGAGGAAAGCCATCTCCACCTGCACCTCCCACATCACTGTGGTTACCCTACATTTTGTGCCCTGTATCTATGTCTATGCCCGGCCATTCACTGCCCTCCCCACAGACAAAGCCATCTCTGTCACCTTCACGGTCATCTCCCCTCTGCTCAACCCCTTGATCTACACTCTGAGGAACCAAGAAATGAAATCAGCCATGAGGAGACTAAAGAGAAAGCTCATACCTCTTGAAAAGTGATGGAAAAAGAAACCCCAACTCTTGTCACCCAGAGCTCTTTTCATTATTTTTATATACTCAAATAACTGTCAATTAACCAACTATACTTTCTAGGAAGCCATTTTATTTTCTGCTTATACTAATAGTAACTTATGACCCAAATTTCTATATGACACAAAGTAAATTCCTTTACAGAATTGGGTTGATTAATCTGTCTGTTGTTTAGTTGGTTGGTTTTGAGACAAGATCCCTGTACCCTTGGCTGGCCTTGAACTCATAAAGATGCACATGTTTCTGCTTCCCAAGTGCTGGGATTAAAAGTATAAACTACCCGGCTTTTCTTCTATTTTTAAGAATTGTTTGTTTTATTATTATGCATATGGATTGTTTGTCAGGGTGTATATATGTGCACCGTGTGCATGCATGATGCCTGTGGAGGCTAGAAGAGGGTATTGGATCCCCTAGAACTAGACTTACAGATGGTTGTGAGTTACTATGTGAGTATGAGAGACCAAACCAGGGTTCCCTGCAAGAACAAGTAAGTGCTCTTCAGCACTGAGCCATCTCTCCATCCCCTGATGAATAATGCTTTTTTAATCACAGACCAAAGTTACATTCTATCAACCAAAACAAGTATGCCATTAAGCTCAACTCCTTTTGCAAAAGACAAGCAGTTAGCTTTGCCTGTAACTCCAGGACTTGGAAGGTAGAGGCAGAGGAGCAAGAACTCAAGGCCAGGTTTGAAGCCAACCTGAGCTCTATGAGAACCTATCTCAAAACATTAAGCCTTGCTTCTCCCTAGTGCAGGCTTCCAGCACCACAGTCTCACCGGCATACTACTTTGATTTGATGTGCAAATAATCTTCCTGGATCTTTCTTTTACAGAAGTATCAGGAGTCGGGAGAATGGTTAACATTCCGAAGAGTTCTGGCTGTGGTTAAGAGTATTTGATGTTGAAATAAGAGAGATCTTGACTGGAGAAAAGCTTCTGCTGACTTTGAGACGCTGATTAACTAGTTAATCTTCCCATGCCTGCTTTCTCAACTATAAAACTGGTATAAAAACATCGAGGTAGCTGGTCCGTGGGGGCGCACACCTTTAATCCCAGCACTCGGGAGGCAGAGGCATGCGGATCTCTGTGAGTTCGAGGCCAGCCTGGGTTACAAGAGCTAGTTCCAGAACAGGCTTCAAAGTTACAGAGAAACCCTGCCTCGAAAAACCAACAAAATAAATAAATAAAGGTATAATATGACAGGAATGATGCAGGCTGTGTAAGAGATGAGGCAGCCGCACAACATGTTAGAATGGCTCCGGGGCTAGGAAATATATCAGCAGTTTGCAGCACTTGCTCTTTCAGAGAACCCAGGTTTGATCTCAGCATGCACATAGTGGCTCACAACCATCTGTAACTACAGTTTCAGGAGATCTGATGCCCTCTTCTGGCCTCTTTGGAAAAGGCACGTGTGTACATGTAGTACATATACATACAAACAATCAAAACACTCATGAATATAATTCTGAAAAAATGTTTTCATGTCATAAATGTTCACTAAAAGATAGCAAAAGAAAAATTAACTAAACAGAATTCTTCCAGTGGGTATGTACTCTGATATTTTGGGGTATTTAGCTTAGCTTGAACTCTGAGCAAACACTCACACACACACACACACACACAAAAGCACAAAATGTCTAGGGGTGGCACAGGCTTTTTAAGTTCAAGGCAACCTTGTCTACAAAATGAGTTGGGGGGGGGGGAATGATGCAGATGACTGGCCAGTGGTACTGCACACCTTTAATCCCAGCACTTGAGAGGCAGAGGCAAATGTTTCTCAAGTTCCAGGACAGTCAGAACTAAAAGAAATATGTTAGAGAGGAAATAGTCACAAGTTTATTAATTTCTTGTGAGACAAGGTCTCACTATGTAACCCCTGGCTAGTCACAGAGATCCTCCTAATTCTGCACCCCAAGTGCTACATGCTTATTAATTTTAAGTTTTTCCTGAAATAGGATCCACTTACATTTAGAAACATGCACTTACATACTCAGTTCAATAAACCAAAAAATTAAAAAATGAAAAAAAATTAAAAATTCTAAAAAATTTTTTAAAAAAAACTTTTGCACAAATCAAAAATGCCTATGTAACACGCACCTAGGACCCAACATTATCAACCCCGTAGGAGCCTCCTTCAAGCTCCTTTCAATTGTGCCTACATTAATAAAACAGAATGTTTGCTCTTCGGTGCACAGGCTATTTAGGAAAACAGAGTCTGAGAAATTCACTTACAGTGTTACAAACAATGTGGACTGTTCTTGCTGCCGTCTAGTATTGTGTAAATTTAACACTATCTCTCCGGTTACCAGTGGGCAGTTCTGTGTCCTTTGCTGGCTTGAGGAAGTTGTAAAGAGTGTTGCCGTGAACACTTTTGCAGATATCTCTTGGTAGATATGAAATATAAAGAAATACATCCCTACTAAATATAGCATGTAAAGATATATATCATGTATGTGTGTAAACAGGCAGGCTTATATAATTAAGCAGTAAAGTGGCTATACCAATCTCACACACCACGTACATTGTATAAGGGTTCCAGCAATCCCAAACCTCTACCTTCTCTTGATATTTTTCATTTGCTTTACTATTGTTAAATTTTTTTCATCATTTTCTTTCATCTTTTTCATTCTAGTCTTTCTGGGGGGTGTGTGTGTGTGTGTGTGTGTGTGTGTGTGTGTGTGTGTGTATGTGTGTGTAAAATGATCCTCTGTTGTAATTTTAATCTATGATTCCAAGCTAATATGAAGTTGAACTGGTGTTTGGATATCCCCTCTTGTAAAAAGTTTATATCTCTTACGTTGCATTGCATTAGTGACAGAATCTACCTGCTTAATGACTGGGTGAAAATTCTGGTAATCTTTCAGGTAAAAGCTGCATGCAATCACAGAGCACACATTTCAAAAATAATGTTTGCCAGGTATAGTGGCGCACACCTTTAACCCCAGCACTTGGTAGACAGAGGCAAGGCAGATCTCTAAATTCAAGGCCAGCACGTGTGAGGATAGCCAGGGCTACACAGAGAAAAGAAACCCTGCGAACGAGAAGGCAGAGGAGAAGAAGAATTATTTTCCCTCCTTAATTCCAAGCCAACATGCCACTGAAAGGAAATAGAATATAGACAATGTTATATAGTCATTGTACTATTTGTCTTCCAGAGATGCACTTGGAAAGGAATATGTGACCTGATGGATCAGGGAAATTATACCGCAGTGAAAGAATTTAACTTCCTGGAGATTGCTCAGTCCCAAGAGCTGAGCTAGATCTTATCGGTCTTGCTTCTGGTGTAAGAGACAACTATCACCGGAAACCTCAGCACCATCACCATGACTCTCTCACATCCCCATGAACTTCCTGCTCCACAGTCTGTTTATGACATCTGCTTTCCGTCATCACACTTCCTCATCAGTGTATCAGGGCGAAAACCATCTCCTAAAATGACTGACTCCCAGATACTCTTCTGCTTTTTTCTGACTTTCCCCAAAGAACCCTCAACTAGAGACGTACTTTCATGACTGGTCTCCCAGCCCATCTTCCACCTCTATTCGGTTGCCCTTTGGCTAATTTGGTTATGTATTCTTTGATCTTCACTCCTGATACCAAAGAGATCACAAGTTCTAAAAGAAAATGTGATAAATCTTTGCAAAATATGAAAGAAATCTGAAAGCAATTTAATCAGGAATACTGACAAAGGAAAAGGAGCGGAGGTGATGGAGAGTGTCCGCATCACGCAGGGAAGTGTTTAGTTCTTGGACTTGAAGATCATGTCAGCCTCAGGAGTCACAACTTGGACATGAGCCTCTATCAAGCAAGGGACACTGTCTCAGAAAGTAAGGTGGAGAGCAATCAAGGGAAGAGAAGGCACCCAATTGCAGCCTCCAGCCTCCACACCCATTAGCATGGGCACATGCACCAACACACACATGCATATACATGGGAACATACACATGCCTCTCTCTCACACACACACACACAGGAAAAATTAAATAAATAATAGTCAACATGGAAACTTTAAGAACAAAGGGAAATGTGTTTTCCAGTCTCTGTGGTATCTCTAAATATGTAATAGATCAAGAAGAAAAAAAATAGACATGATGAGATATCCAAATAAGAAATTGTGTTCATTTTATTTCTAAGTTCCTATCTCTTACACACAGACATGTTGACTCCCTCTGAGCCTATTAAGCAAAGGTACCTGGGCTCTGGGCACAGGATCTATGAGGATTCATGCCCTCCCCTGCCTACATGAGGCGAGTCTCCAAGCCAAACTGCTTGTTTGTACACATCTTCTGGTGTACATTTTTATAATAACTCCCAACAGAATTTTCTCCCAAAAGAAAAGTCTGGCCACTGAACTTCAATAATTGTGCCCAACAATACCGTCTTTGGTGATTCTTCTACTGGTCCTGGGGCTGAGGGAGTGGCATGCGGGGCAGGCATGCTACAGAGAAGCATGGTAAAGTCATGTAGAAGAGATTCTGGGAGCTTTAAAGAGAGAAGATACTAACCCTCAGGTGCATGTCTTCCTTAAGGAGAAGAAATCCGTGACAAATTACCAAGGTCTAAGGTCAGTTTATGCAATCAAACAGCCACCTCTACTTCTCGGGTGGGAATCAGAGTTTGAGGGTCTTTAATGAGGTGTCAATATGAAGTCAAGACCTTGGAGAGTATGTTTGTGTGTCTGATCATGTATCTGGGGACATGCGTCTATACACAACCAACTTTAAAATATTACTGTGGACTAACTAGAAAGGGTTTGTATGTTGGTGATGCTTTCAGAAGGTGTGGGATGGTAGTTGTTAATTCTAAACGTCAGGACAGTGCAGAGAGGAATAATCTATTGTTCGCTCGAAGGACACAGGAAAGTTCACCATGTTAGAAGACGTGGATGATGGAGTTGAGAGTTTTCCTCAAGTTAGGAACTGTAACACTCAAAAGCCTACTTCATTAGAGTGTATTTCTCAGGCATATT